AGAGAGAGAGAGAGAGAGCAATTATAGGGGAAAAGGTGAACTCCATGGCTGAGTACTCCCTTATTAATGGCTAGAGCCTGAAGAATGGCACACAAACACTTATAAACAGTCCATACACACAGCCGCATGTCATGACCAGGTCATGGGTAACTCTAACAATAGCCCTTAATAGTACAGTGCTGAAAGCACTTTACCACTGAAGGGGGAAATGTATCCCTCTCTATCTCAACGATTCATGTGAAAAGATCTCCACACACACAAAACACAGAATTTGGCCACATGAAAGAGGCATTTCATTCCCATACTCTGTCAAAGCTGAGGAATGCTAATGGTGAAAAACACGGAATACACAGTCTCTCTTTCTCTGTCTCTCTCTCTCTCATACACGCACACAGACACACTCAGATCGACTGTAATTTCTAATTTCACTCATATGTACATTTTATATATACAACAATGCACACACTAACACAAACACTACACTTCCGTACAAACCGCTGACACAGGTCGGTTATACCAGCTCTATATTGAGTCAAGCCTTGCAAAGACCTCTGGGAAATATGCTGCTGAAATGTCCCCTTCACACACTGACCTCTAAATCTCTACAGAACAATGACGCTCACACACACACATACGAGTACATGCATGCACAAATATAGACTGTTTACCACGGTGATTGAGAGCACAATGAGACAAACAGTTATAGTAAACACAGGATATGATGTCCACCACACAATATAAATACATTTAAATGCATATAGCTGAGTGTGTGTGTGCCGCTGCACATGGTATTCTCATGGGAGTGGGTGACTTGGAGAAAAAGAGTGTTTGAGAGTGACGGAGAGAAAGAGTCAAAAGGAGGAAGCAGCAAAATGTTTTTTTTTGTGTGTGTGTGTTTGTGTGTGTGTGTGTCAGTGCATATGTGTGGGTGTATGGGACTAAGCAACATTAGTCATGCTACTGCTGCTGCATGTTCGTACAACACAAAATGAATCGCAGCTTTTTTAGCTTTTTGTACATAATGTGACACACACACACACACACACACACTCTTGAAGCTTTATTATGATATTTCTGCCTTTAACACTAACACAAGGATGAGTTAAGAGCTGCAATTAAATTGTTTCTGATAACATCTGTGTGCCTCCATTGACTCCACTACACTCTTTTCTGAGATCATGTAAAAGATGACAAATGGTTTTCAAAAAAAATTGTAAATCTTAAATCTTTTTCTGTCCCTTTCCAATAATCCATCACTTGTTCAGTATTTCCATGGCAACGGGACTGAGTACCACTCTATGTACACTGTACAGTACATAGGAGAGTAAGCCTGTGTCCTTTTTCCAGGATCCTTTATGCATTGACAGGATAGATCCAAAACATTTCCATTTTCTTTATCTATCCTTTTTTAATTCTGCACATCCTCTGTGCTAAAGAGGGTCATCATGATCTATACCCCTTTTAGTCTCTTGCTACTGTAAGAGGTCACTCGCCATTTACCATCACATCTCTACAAGAAGAACCCCAGATAACCTCTGCTAACTGAATCATCACTCTATGTTTCTGCTTCTACTCGCACTGATTTAACTGCCTTTTTTTACTCCTATTTCTAGGTCTTTTTTTAGCACTTTTCTCACTGGACTGTTGGCAGGGCATTATGGCTTTAACCCTCAAATCCTTTTGGGTTGCTCGCAATGATAATTGGAGAAGTCAAGCTCATTGTAGGTTACTGGTAACAAGAAATAGAAAGGGAAATGTGGAAATGAAGAAAAAAGGAAAAAAACAGAAAGAGAGATCAAAAAAGAGAAAAGACACCAAAGGGATTATGTAAAAACAATCTACAACTGGACTAACTGACCATAAAATCTATATAATGATTCCAAAAAACATAAGGGAACATCTTTCTACGCCACTGGTAATGTTGAAAGGAATACAGAGGTGTTGCTAATGCTTTCTTAACCTCCCTTACCTCCCTTCTCTTCCTTCTCTCACTCCCTACCTCCGTACCACTGGGGAGAATGTGCTGCTTGTTCAGTCACACTGCATTATGGGGGTTGGAGACATTGAATAACTGTGACATTATAAAACCAAACTGTGAGAGGCCATTGAATAGTGTGTGTGTGTGATGCCATTCAGCCGCTCGGTTGCCTTTTATATCTGTCTGACCACAGGCTCGTAAAAACGCATTCTGGCACCAGCAGCTAAAGGCCTCAGCCCACGCCTCAGGTACTAAGGTTTCACTCATTCTTTGCCTGAAATCCCTCCCTTTCTCTCTCCCTCGGCCTCTGTCTCCATGACTGTCTGTGCCCCGTCTCCATACCAACTCCTTTTCACTCTTCTTTCCACTGGACCAAGTCTGTGTGTTCGGCTCCTCCAATTATAAGCCCTTCCTTGCATCCTTTATCTCTCTCTCTGTTCGTCTTTATTTTACACTTGATTTAAGGGCCCGAGCATTCATCTGCTCAAACTGCAGCGGCAGGTTTGGGTCTTGAGGAGAAATAGTACACC